TACATATATACATACATATAAAAAATTTTTTTTTAAATAAATAAATAATACACACCCTCAGCCCAGGATGGGATGGGTTTTCTGGGTGCAGACTCGTCATCTGTTGAGTCGTCGCTGTTCTGGTCCATGCCGTAATCCTCTGGATTCACTAAAACAGTGATTTTCTGCCCTTTAGGAGTGATCTGGTAGGACTGTGGAGATTGCTGAAACACAAAAACACAAAACGGTAAAAAACGTGAGGAATCACTCATAGAAACACCTAATGAAGCTGTGTTTAGTTCATTGATACCCGTGATGTTTTAAACACTGATGCTTTTGTCTTCATTTGGTTGTGGTTTTGGTATCTATTGTTATTGTTTGGTGTAAATTTGTCTTTTGGTTTTGTCTCTATGGTTTTAGTTTAATGAACTTTAGGTGTTTTGATATTGGTTTTGATTATGATTTAATGTAAACTTGTTGTTTTATTTAATACACTATGTTGATGGTGGCTAATGGGGATTTAAATCAATAACAAAAACTCAAAAATCCACAGTAAATTACAGAACAGAAGTAAAAGAGAAAAGTAACGTTCGTAGACGAACTTTATGTTGGCGTGAAAAATATTAGCCTGAAAAATGTTTGAATAATTAAAGTAGTTAAAAAAAAAAAACTTGAAGTTTAAATCAATTGGCATAGATAAACTAGTAACTATAGATGTTTTGGGTGAGGGCTAGGCAGTTGCTGATTTGTTGTTAGCATATTTATATCATGGATTAGCATGTTGTTTGCTAGGCAACTGCTAAAGTGGTCTGGGTGGTTGCTAGCAGAGCATGCGAGCAGAGTGGGAATATTACTATTACTAGTTGAGAGCGCCTATTTGAAGAATCCACTCCGCTCACTTTGCCCAGACCTTTGATGGCTGTTATACCAACAGTAGTTCAAGATCTCAGTGCAATCTGCGGTTATTTATGAAGTTCAAGTATTGTTTTAACAAAGTTGCGAACCTTGAACTCATGTAAAATAAAAGTTAAAAATGAGCAGGGAGAAAAAAGTGATGGGGACCGCGGTAAAACGGAGAAGATTAGCAAAGATTCATTCTAGAATCTAAAGCGGCACATCTACAGCTAGTTCATTAATTTGCTTTTCAGCTTAGTCCCATTATTAACCTGGGGTCGCCACAGTGGAATGAACCGCCAGCTTATCCTGCATTTGTTTTACACAGCGGATGCCCTTCCAGCTGCAACCCATCACTGGGAAACACATACACACTCAATTACACTATGGTCAATTTTAAAACACCCACCTGACTTTTTCCAAAGTAGAGGTGTGAAAACACCCTGCTTAAACCAGGGGGTTTCATGGCCCTTTAAGGCTTTTTGAAAGACCTTCTCAGTATATTTTAAGACCTAGTCGCCACTTAAAGTTTTATTCAGTATCAAACCTTTAACTTAACAGTTGTTCTTAAATAAATCTGTTGCATGGTTGTGCTCTGCAGAACTCAGATAAGCTCAGAAGAAGCAAAACTTGAAAGAATAAATGAAGTGGTTGTTTTAAACTCGTCTTTCTTCAACCAGGAGTACCTACATGTGGAGAGCGACACATCACCTTCCTGCCCTTGTCGCAAATTACGTGAAATCACCCAGATGGAGGAGCTTGGCTGGACGCGCCCCAGCCAGAATTAATCGCGTGGATCGAGCATACCGTTGTTAATATATATATATATATATATATATATATATATAAATAATATATATATTTTTTTTATTATTTATTTATTTTTTTTTGGAGTCAAACAGTTTGGACAACACTTGAACAAAATTTAAGACCTCGTGAAATCATGATTAGGACTTTTTTACCTTTTAAGGGCCTTCATTTTTTTATTATTGATTTATCAACTTTTAATACTTTTTAAGACCCCGCGGACACCCTGTATGAAGACATTCTCATTTACCGCAGGAAAAAGACATGACAAAGTTTGCCATGAGCTTACCTCAATGTCAACGGTCACGTTGAGGCCTGCTCCGTGATCTACAGTCTTATTATGAGCAGCTCCTTTCCCAACTGGTGTTTTCAGAACTGAATTCTGTGGAGGACGTTTAATGATTAGTTCAGTAGATATCTAATCCGGAGGATGAAAAAGAGAAAGAAAAGAGTGTTTACCTCAATATCTACAGTCATGTTCAGAGCTGTACTCTTAGTTATTGTTGTGTTGAGGATATTTGCTGCTGTTTTAGTGACCTGTCGACACATTAAAAACAAGATTACAATAATAAAACCCAACACTGCCATAAAAATATACATTTACAGACATTAAATGGTTTCAAATACAACATACACAATTAAGTGATTAAAAACACATCATACAATTTAACATTTAGACAAAATGGCCCACTCATAATTGGTTTAAATAATGGCCATTACAATATTTAACAAATACAACTACGATTATGATTTGTTCCCCGCTTTGAGCACAAGTATTATAGATTGTGATGATCGTGACCTGTGCTGTGGCTGTAGAGGCAGCAGCAGCAGCATGTTTGAGTTGAGCTTCTCTCTCCTGTTCAGCCCTTCTCTGCTCCTCCTGTTAGCAACACAACAATCTCATCAGATTATGGGACTGTAAAATGTCCCAGAGCTATTCTGTTTTCCAGTCTGGCTTCCAAAAATTAAATCACCCTGTCCATCAGATTATCTTAATTGGAGGAAAAGCATAGCCTGTTTTTAGTTCTCTCGTATTCCCTTACAAATTATGTTGTATGCAATGATCCTTATGGATCAAGGAAGCACTAATAATGTGTTTGAGAATCGGGTATTGTCAAAAGAACTGGTACTTCAGTATTAAGTTGATAAAACATTTTTTAAAATAAAATAAAACATATTTACTTTATTTCAGGGACAATACAAAAAAAACTAAATAATAATGAATAATAACAATAATATAAAATACACAAATAAAAGAATAAAATAGATAAAAAAACAAAAAGTAAAAAATAAATAATATACATAACAAATAATAATAAAACAGATAAAAATTATAAAGTCAAAATATAATAATCAATATAAATTATTAAATAAAAAAATAATAAAACAAGTAAAAGAAAGATTAGTAAAAAATAAACAACAATAAAAATACAAACAATAATAAAATAGATAAAAAGGACAAGTAAATAAAAATAAATTATAGTAAATAAAAACAAATAATAATAACAACCTATAATACAACAACAATAATAATAATAATAATATTGAAAGAGATCAAAAATACAAAAACAGTAAAAAAATAAATAAAAAATACATAAAACAAAATTATCAAAGATAAAAATTACAAGTAAAAAATAAAATAAAAATTAATAATAAATAAAAATAAACAACAAATAAATAACAATAAATATGAAAAATAATAATATTAAAATAAATAAAATAATAAAATATATAAATGGTCAACGTAAAAATAATAAATTTAAATAAACAACAAATAAAACAATAAAAAAAAAAAAACATAAATAATAATAAAATGGATAAAAAGGACAAAAAAGTATAAAAATAACAATAATAATAAATACAAATTATTAAATAAAATGTGGTTATAATAAAAAATTGATAAATGGCAACAGCCTACAATGAATGCCATTTGTTTATCTAGTAAATGTATATATTTTTTTAATGAACGTTTTTTATTATTCGGACCACTTGAAGTTATTTCAGGCTACCTTAAACTGAAGAGTGCCTGCCCGAAAGCCTACCAGGGATTATGAAAATGTCCTGAACACCCGCTACACATTTCCACATCGAACTGGAAACATCAGATGTTAAACAAAAAAAGTCTCACCATCTTCCTCTTCTCCTCTATTTCTCTCCTCTCCTTTTCTCTGGCTGCTCTCTCCAGTTCCTTCTGAAGAGCGATAGCCTTCTCCTTCTCCAGTCTTTCTCTAAAACACAAACACCCCATTTAGCACCTCTGAAACTGATGCTTTTCTTTCAAACATGAAAAGAAATCAGTGTGCACACATCTACGAAGATCTTAAAGGCAGGTGTTCGATCCAGCCAAACTAAACAAAAGTAAAGAAAATCGGCTCACTTCCACTCCCTATTGATATCTGCCCCCCCACCTCATACACCACTCTCCCCAATTATTATTGAACTTAAAGGGTCACGAAACACCAAAACACATGTGTTGAGCTGTTGACAGGCGTATATGTGTCCCACACTGCTAAAACACTATTAGGACACCTATATTTCACTAAAGTGTAAATTGGTTGTTTTTGCGTTATTTCAAGCAAATTTGTACTTCCGGTTTGAAACTAATTTTTGAAGCTGCGTCACGGTCATGACATAATAGCGTGTATTCCAGCGTGCAGACTGGACGTCTGTGCCAGAGTGTGTCTTATTACGTCTTACAGCCTGCTGCATTAATGCATGAGTAAAGCTTGGTTCAAACCAATCAGCGCGCTCTATTGTGCAACTTCATTAATATTCATTACTGTCACAGTGTTTAGACGACAGAGACGCCACGTTGTGTTGGCAAAACAAGCGTGAAGTGTTGCTTTTATAGTTTGCTGCAGTTAAGTTTTGTTTTCATTTTCTCTCTGTGAGAGCGCAGCTGGACTCACGTGTGGATTAACAGTGTACGCGACGCTCGACAACAATAACTTACATGTCTAAGGAGGATTATTGTTTACCTGAGAGCTGTTCTCATCTGCAAACGCTGAGATCCGGATTCGCTTGTCGTCTCCTCTTAATAAAGACGCGGCTCTAGTTGCTGGTGATTGTCCTGTCTCTACAGATTTGGTAAGTGAGCGACCAGTGCTCTGTTTATTTAGTTTGTTCGTATCGAACTAAGTTAACTATTGCACTGAGTGTAAACATGTTAGCACCACAACCAAACTTTAACCTCGTGTAGGATTTTCGCCGCATTTAGTAACCGGAATAACACATCAGCGCGTGCCCAAATAGACACTCCCACACCGTGCCTCTTTTCTTCCTCCGACACTCCCCCCTAAACAAAGCTGGACACGCCCACTGTGCCTCTTTTCTTCCTCCGACACTCCCCCCTAAACAAAGCTGGACACGCCCACTTTTCTGACTTTTTCCAAAGTAGAGGTGTGAAAACACCCTGCTGAAACCAGGTGGTTTCATGGCCCTTTAATATAGTACATGATCATTGCACTACACTGTACAACAATTAGTAAATGTACATATTCAACCTGTATATTATGTTGCATATTCCAGATTATTAATAGCAACCTGTACAGTATGTTAATCTGTTTGAAAATCTGATGCTAGTTAATTCGACTTGTATATTTATTGGTTAGATGTAAACTGCATTTCAGTGCCTTGTACATGTGTGATGACAATAAAGTTGACTCTAATGTAATCAAATGACAATCCTGATGAAGAGCTTGCAGATCGAAATGTTCTTTTAAACGTGTATAAAAAGCAACACTAACTTTTCAGCGATGGCTTGTCTTTCTCGCTCTCGTTCTCTCTCCCTCTCTCTTTCGCGTTCCCTTTCTCTCTCTCTTTCGCGTTCCCGTTCTCGCTCCTGCTCTTTCTTGAGCTCCAGAGCGCGTGTGGCTTCGGCAAGTTTACGGGCTTTCTCTCGCTCCTCCTCAGCCTTGCGTTTGGCCTGCATTTCCTGAAATCGCCTCTCCTCCTCCTCCTGAAAAAAATAGAGACGGTACAAAAATAGTTATAGCAGCAACAAAATAATACACAATAAATGTGCAGTTTCTAAAACAAAAACTTGATGATGATTAAAGTTAACCTTGCAAAGAAATGTCAAGACAAACAAGTACTATTTTACTTTACATTTTATGTTAGTATATTGATTTTGCCCTGAAAAAAATAATAATAATAAAAAAATAGAATAAATTAATATTTTGTGTTGACATTTTAATTTATGAAAGCCATAAAGAGCAAATTCTTCTGAAACCTGGAACACAATTCAGGTCAAAAACATTGTGCACAGTGAAATAAATGTTGTGTTAATGTTGTTTTCAAGTCACACTTGCAGGTTATTTCAGACCGAATATTCAAAGTGTCGTGGTAAACAATATAGGGAGTGTGTCACAAGTTGTCACTGAATGACTGTGTGAATATAAAACCAACTTTACCTTAATAACTTACACATCTCATTCTGAGCATTCAATATCTGCAGTTTTTTAACCATGTGTAACTGCTTTTGCTCAAATCATTGCTGCGATCAAAAACGAGTAATGTGTATGATTCAGCATAGAGTGAACTTACCTGATATAACATAAGAACTGCAGAGTCCAGCATGTCTAAATAGGTCCTCACTCCATTGAGCCAAAGACAACTGCAGTTGGCATTAAAGCAGTGTGGTGTACGGTAAAAGTTAGGTTTCCAACTTTTGGACTGTCGAATTTGGCATCCTACCGCACAACACAACATGTTGGCTATTGCCACCAGTCTCTTTTTGCAACGGGGAACCCGTGTGACGTCATGTGTACCACAGATTGGTAATTTGTCAATATGCTAGTAATTTATTTTATGCAGATGCACTGCATAGAAAAAGACTTGATCATATCAGTCAATCTAAATTAATGAAATCTTTCCAAATAGACCCATGCAGATATAGTTAAATTATATTTATAATCACAATAGACAGATATTAGGGTGCTTTCACATCTGTAATTCGCTTCATTTGGTCCGGACCAAGGGTAATAAATGATACATTGTTGCATTTTCTGCCGTCTTTGGGTCGTTTTCACACCACACTGCTGGCTTTGGTCCGAACCAGTTGAAACGAACCAAAATGCAGTCATCTGACTAAATCCACAGCTCTCATTGGCCAGATGTTGTTGAACATATTTCTTAAACTGCTTATTGATTGGTCAGAATTCACGTGCAGGAAAATGCCAATGAACTCCCGCAAGTAAACAAAACCGGCAGACACAAAACGTCGCTCTTTACTATAAAGGGACGACTGCGCTGACTGATTGTATGCCTGCTTTAGACAAACCATACATACATTTTGAGAATGAAGCGCGGCCGCGGCTGGAAAACAGTGTTTAATGCATCGCTCGTCACTTCAGGAGGAGACGTGAATTAATTTAGCTAAACTGCGACATGATCATCTTGCGGAAATATTACCAACGATCCATCAGGTAGTGTTTTCCCCGCTCTCTCTCTCTCTGTTGGTAAAGCGCTGTCGACAAATATTTTTCCTCTATATCCCATAATGCACAGCGCATCGGCCTACGGCAGCTGAATTGGTCTAAAAGGCGCAGTACTTTTTGCGGTTCGACCGTTTTAGTACGGATCATATTCTCACCACAAACGAACCGCTCCAGGGTTCGTTTGAAAGCACACCGAGACCACCTCTTCAAGCAGGTCTCGGTACGCTTATTTGGTCCGCTTTTGGTGCGCACTAGAGTACGATTGCTGCATTCTCACCTGCCCAAACGAACCGTACCAAAAGGGGAAATGAACTCTAGTGTGATTCAATCGAACTGAATAAGGCAGGTGTGAAAGCACCCTTAGATAGCAAAACAAAATATCGCAATGTCAAGATTTTCCATATTTACTTTCTTCAAATTCACTTGTTTTAGATCACGTACGCAATTCATTCAGTCCTCGTGCATTACACCAAACAGAACCATGAATCTGAACGCATGTTAACACCAGGTCCAAATAGCACCTTTTATTGCAGGATTGACTTACAACTTGCTGCTGTTTCTTTTGTCTCGCCGCCTCTTCCTGTTTCCTGCGCAGCTCCAGTTCTTCCTGTCGTTTAGTGGCCACCTTCCTCTTGGCTTTCTCCTCCGCCATCCGCTCCACTCGCAGCTTAGAGAAAAACAAGAGCTTTATGAAGAATCCAAATCAAGTGGAGTGCATGGGTCTACATTGAGTCTAAAGATCTTCAGCACTGACCAGGTCGTTTTTCTTCTCCAGCTGTGCCATCTTTTCTTCGATCTTCTTTTTCTTTTCCTGCTCCTTCTCCTTTTCGCTTTTCACTCGAGCCTCTACAACCCGTTTCAAACGCTCGTCCCGTTTCCTAAAATTCACAATCGACTTTTGAGTATACTTTTGCATTCACACTTAAAGAACAGGTCATATGGGTTAAAATAAATAAATCGAATTTGCCATTTGTAATGTCATGCGTTTAAAAAAATACTATGAGTAAAATAAAAATAAATTTAAAAAAATTTATTTGCCTTTGTAATGTCATGGGTTAAAAATCATATGGGTTAAAAAAGGTCATTTGGGAAAAAGAAAATCTAATAATGAGTCATATGGGATAAAAAAAAAAATCTAAATTGGCATTTGTAATGTCAAGGGTTAAAAAAATTATAGGGATTAAAAAAAAGGGCCATATGGAGTAAAAAAAAAAAAAAAACTAATCTGCTGTTTGTAATGTAGCTGTCCTTCAACATAAATGTATCAAAAACAAGTGCATGATAAATGAAACTACTTTCTCTCTCTCTAAAAAAAGGAAACAGCCGTAAAATCGCCATAATGGAGTTATATTTTCAAATATTTTGCCTGATAATTATTGGTCAACATTAAAGTAACTCATTTGCATAATTTCCACCTCCGACAACAGTTGAAAGATGTTAAATGTTCAATCTTAAATGTATAAGTTTTTTTTTCTAGGCAGAGAAAAACCAGTCAAAACCGATTTAGCCAGCTGACCAATCAGAGTGGACTTAGCTTATGAAAGGAGGAGGGGTTTACAGACATTAAGGGTGCTGTACAATTGAACTGTAGATCGATTCTTTTGATCCGAAACTGGGATTCAAATTGTTACAATGTTGCTTTTTGTTTTTGGTGCGGCTTGCTTTCACATAGTAATGTTTCTAAATGCATCAAAATAGTAAAATAAGTCATGTGCGTTACAGGGTTTATTTTTCAGAGCCCTAAAGATTCCGCTCAGCTGTCAGCTGTCAGTCTTTATTTTAATTTATAATGTTGAACAATAATACAAAAGCAAAAAGGTGCACTTTAATTTTGACACCCACAGACATCGTCAACAAATATAAATCAGAGCGTTTAGACTCTCATACAGAGCCTCATTTCAGCTGTCAAGGGTTGTAAAAGTCTATTGAGTCAATCAATATATTAAAAGAAACGTTGGCTAGAATTCGGCATTTTAGGCTTAAATTATAAAGAGAAATAACAGATGAAGCGAGACAGCAGTCAGATCATGAAGCAGATCCATGTTGATCTTTCTTTCGACGGTGAGTGCAGAAATGAACAAAACAGGCCTAATATAAAATATTATAAGATTAAAATATGGAGAAAAATATCAGGTGGTAATTTCAGTAAATGCATAAACAGCTCTTGTTAATATTTCAGCATGCTTACACTTCCGTATTCAACATGAAACGCACATTTGCTGGTAGGAATAACATCTCGCCCTACTCATAATTCTCTTTAAATAGTCATATATATACACAAATATATATATATATATACACAAATATATATATATATATATATATACAAAAAAAAAAAAAAAAATATATATATATATATATATATATATATATATATATATATATATATATATATATATATATTTATATATATATATATATATATATATATATATATATATATATATATATATAT